GTAGATAATAATTACTACACACACACACTCTCTCTCTCTCTCTCTCTCTCTCTCTCTGGTGTAAATATGAATCAGTAGAGACTGCTCTACTATTGTCTCTATTAGAGCGAGTTGTTTATTTATTTTTTATCCATTTTATTTTATGTACATAAATCGTCTCTCCTGAGGCTTTTGAATCTGAGGGCTGGCTCTGAGCCTTCTGAAATCTAAATAGAAGAAGAGGTGGCTATAAAAGCCAGTTACAGTATGTATTTTTTTCTCCTAAAAAACAATGTTATTTTATTATACTGTATGTTCTGTCGAGAACTCTCGACAGTTAAATAGCGCGAGAATCAGAGTCTCAGAGATGCCCTCTCAGACCTCAGGGGCCCAGGCCCCAGGGCTCGCACAGTCAGCCAGTCAGTCTCAGACTCACAGTCTCACAGGCTCTCTGCCTCTGGTAGTCAGCCAGTCAGTCTCAGACTCACAGTCTCACAGGCTCTCTGCCTCTGGTTTAAGCTTTCTCACAGGAAGCTAAAAATATTTCTGACGGGAGCTCTAAGCCCTGGATGATCCAATGAACTGGTGAGCTAGATTAAAATATAATACACGGTTTGCGACATGTATTAAAACATGTTTGCAATTCGTAGAGGCCCCTATTTGGGTGAGGGACCACTGTGGGACTTCCCAACTGAAACAACAAGCTTTCTCTATAAATAAAACATCAAATATTTTATTTATTGTGAATACATAAAGTTTTCCGTTTAATATTTCGAAATTCGAATCGCCCATCGAAAATCTGTGCTTTTTCTATAAAAAACCCTCTGATTGGGATTATATATATTTATTTCGAAAAAAGGAATCTGAGACTTTCGATGATTCAACGATGTCTACTGGTCATCAACAAAATGGAGTAAATAAAGCATCAGTCGTACACGGATATGCACCAACTGTGTTACAACTGTGTATGTGTAACGTGGTTCAGACGAATCTGTTCAATCATTGACTCGTTGTAGTTTGTATTGTACACATCGCGATGACATCATGCATCATCATGTGATCCGCTGTGTACTTTAGAGAGAGTCTGAGTGTCGTCTTGTGTTAGAAGGTTGTATAAAGAAGCGGATCGGCTGCTCATGCACTGACAGATTCAACTAAGTATGTCTACTGTGTAGACCGTTCGTAATGAGACTCATTGCCACGCTCCCTATATTCCGAAGCTCTCCGATAAGTGTTTGTGTTACCAAACAGCAGATATACTCAAGCGTACAACGACCGCCTCTTAATACGTTACGAAGTGCTCAATTGTATAGGCAATACCTGACATATACAGAATCGAAAGCGTACATAGCCTTGCAATCAAAGCAATTTAAGGGATTGAATCGAATTATTTCTGCTACTTGCTCTAGTAGGTCACATTCAAGTCCCAGACAAAAACTCAGACCAAAAAAAATGAGTGGGTTTAAAGCGGACGATATCGAAGACCTGGGGTTCGACCGTAAAGAGATGTATTCGGAGAATCTCAGTGGCGGTGTCGCACTTTATCACAGGTAATTGTCCTGTAATAAAGGGCGGCGATGTCGTCTGTACAGACAGCCTATAGTGTGGATTTCACCGGCATTATGTATGTGTATAATGAAATAGACTAGAGCCGTAGTCGGATAGTAAAGCTGAAAAATAGAACAGTTCAATTCTTATTCACACATGTATATATATATAAATATATATATATATATATATAAATACAATATATATATATGTATATATATATATATTTATATGTATATATATATATATATATATATATATATTATTGTGTGTGTGTGTGTGTGTGTGTGTGT